GAGGATGCTGTGAGGGACAGTGTCAAAAGCCTTGCTCAAATCCAGATAGATGACATCCACCGCTCTGCYYTMATSTRTCCAGCTRKATATTCCTTCGTAGAAGGTGATCAGGTTAGTCAAGCAGGATTTCCCCTTGGTGAATCCATGCTGGCTATTATGTCCTTAGCGAGCAACTACATCTTTGCCCAAACYGAGCTGAAAAAAATTACCAAGAGAGACCCTCTGCACTTGCAGCTCTCTTGTTCTTTGTCAGCACTGCCAGCCCGGATATTGGGCAAAACTGCAGGACCTTGTGCAACAGTGACTGTCCCACCAGCTTGTTCCAAATGCTGCTGTGGATGCTGAGCTCCAAGAGGGCAGCTGCTTGCTATCCTACATCATATCCAGCTTGATGGTCTCGGCCAGAATGTACGCAATATAGGTGCTCTGGTCAAGTACACGAGGCATGTGGCCTACAGGGAGCTAGAGAGCAGCCCAAGAAAAGCAGGACCTGGCCATAGCCTTCGTGATGTTACCTTTTTGGACATGTCTCACCATTTACTACTGTCTTTCTGTCTGTCTTCATTTGCGTCCTCACAGGAGGATGCTTGTCTAGATGGGCCTCACTTGGACCCTTTATAGTGGCTCTCTTGCTAGTAGTACTTCTTAGATGTTCTCCTAGACATAGAGTTGGATCATGCAAAGGTTGCATGAAGGCTACTCTTCACCTTCCAGGTCACAGCTTTCTCCAGTTCCCTCAGCAGATCATTTTTGAGCCCTACATATGTCCATCCTGAAGCCTCAAGCTCTTCCTGCCATCCTGGCTAACACAACACTGCTGAGATCACAGCCAAGGACCCCCTTTCCCAGGTCTCCTTCACTTTTTTATACATTAAGCCACAGAATATTAGCAGCTGCTGAAAGAATTGAAAGCCTCTGATCTCCAGGCTCTGTGAACCAGTATAACCAGCTTGTTTATATATAGCTGACTTACCAGCAGCAGGAACAGTCACTGCCAAATCTCTGTATTGTTCTTTCCACATTTGATTTCAGCTAGTCATCACTCCTGCCCATCTGCCTAAAGGCCTATTTTTTTTCCACCTTAGTTCAAGAGCCTGCTCATTGGCAGCCATGTAAGACACTAAAGGATGAAGAGTAACTACTTGAAACACAAGGATTTAAGCTGCATTAGAGTTTGGATAGACATGTTGCCTCACCCATAGTTGTTTTTTACCCCCACGGTCCCAAAGACGCCCTTTTATCTGCGCTGAGATTATAAACGCACCAAAGGAAGCATCTGAAAATCCCATCTGAGAACTGTTGAAGAGTTGGCCTGACCTGCCCCCTCTGCAAGGAGCAGACATTGTGTCACTGCTTCCAGCAGGAACAGTTCGGAAAACACTGACAGCATCTGCAAATCCAGCCCTTGATGTCCTTGCTGGCAAGCCACGCTCAGCAGAGTGTGTTTGTAGGCGTTCTGCTCCTCTGGTGCATTGAGCCATCTCCTCCTTGCCTGCTTCCATGCCACACTTTCCACATTGCTGAAGAGGAAAAAATAAGAGCAGCTCCCAAAACCCCATATAATTTCCTTCGGCACAGCATGTAGTTCTGAAGGATATTCCCCTGTCTTTTAGWAGAGAATGACTGTATGTTGATACATTCACATCTTGTTTTGCCTGCAGGTAAGTCGGAGCTGCTCACTTCACATTGGCTTTGGTTTGGACAACCTTTCAACAGGTTGACATTCATCCTAAACTCCTCAGCCTGGATATCTCATAAAACTAGAATTTCTTGCAGTCTTTCTATAATTTCCATTTGCTACTCCTGCCAAAAGGAGGAAATATTAAATGCGCAAATGTCTAGAAATATATTTCCAAGACTCATAAAAAAAAAAAGAAGTGCAACTTTCACCTGAAGTTACTGGTAAGAAAAGGTAATCACTTGAATAACCAGGCAGCTTCTAGGTCTGCAGAAACTGCAGAGTTTATGAGGGAGCACTGGAGCCAAGCATGGAGGCAGATAGCGACAGCTCCGCCACCTAGACTGAGATGCAGCAAAGACGCCCTCCTRCACTCAAGATGCACAAATGCAGCTATATATATATTT